GCAGTTGCTGTAGCAAAGGAAACCACATTGGCATGTCACTGTCCAGCGCAGCTGTCCAGTGATGGAGAGTGATTTCCCTCTCTGTGCTGACTGAAACACCCAAGCACCTTTTCTCTTCATCTCAGCTGGCTTGTAGAGTCTCAGGGATCCTAGACAAATTTCAGCCTAAGGAAATCATACTGAGAAAGAAGAGAAGAGGAAAAGAAAGGAAAGGAGAGGAGAGGGGAAAGGAGGGGAGGGGGAGAGGAGAGGAAGCAGGCGTGCCCATTTTTAAAAACCCTGATCTTAACTGGGCATTGTGGTACATTGCTCTACCCAGCACTCTAGGAGGTGAAAGGATCACATATTTTAAACCAGCCTGGGCAATCTTAGGGTGATCTATCTCAGAAAGGGGAACAAGTGGGCAGGAAGTATAGATCTGAGTGGAAACCTTGGGTTCAACACCCCATACTACCCCCACCAAAATAAACAGCAAACAAACAAATCACAATCTGGAAATGGCACGTTGGCACAGAACTATTAGGTCCCTGTTCCATTGATAACAACTTAAAACAGGGCCTTATGATGCAAGGAGAACTTGCCTGTGGGGGCCCGTCACCTCCAAGGGCCATCACCCTCTATGTCAAGGGAAGCATAGTTTTTGCAGAGAACCAGAGCAGGAATCAGAGAGAAATGTTGGGACCCACCATGGGCTGCTTGCTGAGGGCTGGGATACAGATAAATACCACAGCGTTCTGGTCACCCCCCAAGTCTGCTGGAAGTGGCTGAAATAATCCACTCCCAAGCTGGCAGTGTGTGCAAGAATCTCCACTCACCCACCTCTCCGTGAGTACCCACACACTCATCGCTGTCGTTTCTCAAAGCTTCTCTGGGCTTCTGCTTTTGGTGTAAAAGTTGTTCAATCAAAACTATGTCTTATGTCCCGCTTTGAAAATTCTGTTATTAGTAGCAGTTAGATAGTCTGAAGGGACAGAGAAAGATAAAAGCATTCATGATCATCTCACGTTGTCTTTCTTAAAGGAAGAAAAATAAAAAACCCACAGGAGGCGACTGCACTAAACTTTCAGGCTCTGGGTTCCACTGGTCATTAATCAAATCTGCCTGCAGCTGTATGGTCCCAGGGCTTTGTCCTCCTTCACTCTCACTCTTAGGAATGTCTTTGCCAAACAGTCATATCTGTATCTTGCTGAAACTAATGGAAATATATCTATCACTCTCTTAGGGAGCTCTGTCTAAAATCACATTTGAGATCAAAAGGCAGAAAATTTTGCTGGCATTTTGACTATAGTTATAGATGCCAGAATTTTCTAGAAAGGCATACATGACAAAAGTGATGTTGGACTAGAGGATTGTTGAGTTTTTTTGTTTTCTTTCATTTTCTCCTAATTTTTATTTCTTTCTTTCTTCTTTCTCTACCTTCTTCTTCATTCCCTTTCTGTTGTTTCTTCCCCTCCTCCTTTTTCCCTCCTTCTTTTCCCTCCCCTTTCTCCTTTTCCTTCCCTTCTCCCTCTTTCTTTTTCTCCTCTTCCTCCTCACTTGGCTTTTTTGATTTATCCATGAAGGTGAATATTCTTTCACGGTTTTGTTTGTAGCATAGAAGCTCCTTTCACCTCTGGAAGTAGGGGAGGAAAAAATGCTCTGGAAAAAGCCTGCCTCCGCCTTTCTAGGTGAACTTAAATCTTTAAGTTCCAACAGAAAGTTTTCCACTGGCAAGACATGCACTTCCTAAGTGATCTTAGTTTTGTGCTGTGTTTAGAACTCCCTGGCAATTTCTCAGGTGCCAGGGCAGACGGACGAGTGAGTGTTTGGAAGAACGTAGGCAATTCAGGCCCAAGTGTGGGGTGAGGCAGCACGTCTCTGCACCTGTTTTTTAGGGTTCAGTCTCGCTACATGATGCACACAAGGAGCATGCAGTGGGGGAGGGCTCTGGCTTCCCCCCAGCTCACTTGGTCATGAGATCAGAATGAAAGATTGGGTGGGTTTTCTGCAGTGCAGCAAATGAAGTAGCTCATTAGCTGTAAGCAGCCAATAATCTCCCCTGATTCCCCACAGCTACAATTCCTTGGAGAAATTTGTGCTGGGGTGAGGCTGGAATAGTGGAAAAGCCAGAGGAAAGGGGACGTGCAAGAGGAGGACACACCAGGGAAGAGTGCTGCACTCTGCGCAGGCAGCGCTCTGTCTCCGATGCAGTCTTCCTTGTATTCTATCCTGGGCTGTCACCTGTCTTCAGCATCTTGCATTATTTCTGGCTAGAAAGATGACTTTGGATACTATTACCCTTAATTAATTAAAGCCATGAGGCTCTTAAAATAGTCTACTTGGAACTACAATAATAATAATTATAAGACCGTAACTATTTACTTTTTCAAGCCGTGATCACATTGTTTTGGACTTGCAAAATACACAAGGCAGAAATTTACAGCCCATTCTCTAAATGGGATAGTGAAATCATGCATACACCTTGGGATTATATCCCAGGGATGGAACCTAAAATTGGGCCACAGCCACATCTCAGAGGCACCTGCAGTGTAGACCGAGTGCTGGACTGATCTAGAGTCTACAGTTTTTCTACCAAGGTGATTTGAAATAAAACAATTACTAATGATGTTTAATCAACAGCATGACAAAAGAAAAAAAATCCTATTCACAACTAACATGTGTCTAGCATTTTGCTACTTACTTTTCATGCATGAAGTCAATCTTCAAAGCAATGCTGGGAGATTAGCACTTTTTTAGATGGGGATGAGGACAGGGTCCAGAGGTTGGCCTTAGAGGCCCAGCTGTGGGGGGAGGAAGGGCTGGGCAGGCTGTCAAGCCAGGTGGCTGCAGAGTCTGGGCACTGGGCTCGGTGCAGCAATTCTTCTCATCATCGGATAACCAGATAGTCCTGGATAGAACAAGACACTTGAAGGTCATCTGTGACCTTGAGGATCATAAGATCAGGCCTAAGACTCACCAGTCCTCTCTTTTAAGCCCGCACAAAGGGATTTCAAATACCCTTGGTGTCCACACAGGATTGAGTCTAGGACCTCTATGAATACCGAAATCTAAGGGTGGCCCAAGTCCTTATACACAATGGCATAGTACTTGGTTATGGCCTATGTTCATCTCCCTATACATTTAAATCATCTCTGGATTACTTATTTTACTTTATACAATGGAAATGCTATGGCAATAATTGTTATGCTGTACTGTTTGAGAAATAGTAAGAGCAAAAATCATACATCTTCCGTCCAGATGCATTCTTTTCCAAATGTTTTTGTTCCTCCACACACAGAATCCTGGGCACGTGGAGGGCTGGCTGACTCTGGAAAGAGATCTTCAACAAGGCAGTTGCCTGCCCACTTCACAGCAAGGTTGCTTCTACGTCCTGTGTCCCATGGTCACTCTTGGCACACAGAACTCAGTGCAGCTTCATGGGCTAATTGTTCACTCATCTGCCGTTTACTGAGGCCCTGCCCAGGGCCAGGCTCTGAGCTGGGTGTGCGCAGAACACAAAGGTGGAGAAACCCTAGGCTTTCTCCTTATGGCAGTTGTGGTCTCAAGGGGAGGGGAGAACATGGGTCAGGTGGATACAGGGTACCAGGTAAGTATTTCAGGAGGTCAGAGCAGCACTGTGTCCTTCAATAGAGGTGGGAGTGGTGCTCCTGGGAGCCCAAGGAACAGGGATCTAACAGGGCTACAAAAGCACAGTAGAAGTAGGAGAGTAGTACTTGCCACACAGGAGCTGAAATCAAATGTTTGGGCTGAAGTCCTGGCCAGGTTGATTGGTACCTGGAAGACGTTAGGAAAGTTAGTGTGCTCCACTAGGACTTAGTTCCCTGTCTTGGCCAAGGAGGGGATAAGCAGGAAAGGATTCCAGGAGAAATCTCCCTCTGAAACTGATCACAGCATACGTGCTTGGTAAATGATCATGATAATAGTGTCATAATAGCCATCATGACAGCTTTATGGAGGGTGTGAGACTCACGATGAATTACAGTTGTCAGGCAGAGAAGGAGAGGTGCTTGAGAGCTGGGGGAAGAGAACTCCCACGCCAGACATCGGCACATGCAGAGCCACAGGATCATGTCTCCCTCGACGCAGCGCTAAGAACACCGCCCAGCGATAGGCTCCACCTGCCTCTTCTCTGTGAGCTTTTCCACAGAGTCAGAGCAATCAGCTTTCCTTGCCGTAATTGCTAGCCTGGCACCTTTCCTCCTGAGCCCTGAGCAGTGACTCCCAGTTGCCTCTTGAATCAGCTTGTATCCAATTGATCACAGGCTTCAAGTGTCCCTCTTTCCCCACAGCCCCATCTCGTAGCTCGTCACTGCCGTACCCTGGAGTTTCACCCCACTCCAATCACAGAAGCTGATCCTGAGTCTGTGCGTGATTCTCTCTTTCCCTCTCCAAGACAAGGTGGACCCATGTGCTCACCTGGCACACTTCCCAAAGCATGTGTGGATGCACGTGCATGTGCGCTGTGACTTTAAAGCGCCGAGGTTCAGCAGGGCCTGGCAGCGGGTTGGATTGACCTGGTTACTAGCTGATGAATTGGAGTTACATCAACTCTTGCCGATATGGAGATGAGTCGCCTGGCCTCTCCCGCATCTTAGAATGTTGGGGTGCAGTGCTAGGGTTTTAATGCGTCCCTCAAAATTCACATGGTTCCCAACGTGAATGGGATGCGGAAGTGGGGTCTTCGAGCAATAAAGATTGTCAATGCGATGCCCCACTTCTCTTTCCCATATGAAGACACAGCGAAAAGGTGACAGCTTGTAAACAGGAAGAGGTCCCATACCAGGACAAGATCAGGCTGATACCCTGATTTAGGCCTTCCAGCCCCCCAAATTGTGAGAGAATATTTCTGTTAAGTGAGTCAGAATACTACCAAGTCTCTAGTATTTTCTGATCTCAGCCTGAACTGACATATATCTGGGTTTATAGATTCCAAGCAAAGAAAAAACAAACAGTGTTTAAAGGATATAGTAGGTCTTTTCGCCATCTTCCACTTTGACTGCCGGCAGCCGCCATGAAGGTTGAGCTGTGCAGCTTCAGCGGGTACAAGATCTACCCGGGACACGGGAGGCGCTACGCCAGGACCGATGGGAAGGTCTTCCAGTTTCTGAATGCAAAATGCGAGTCTGCATTCCTTTCCAAGAGAAATCCTCGGCAAATAAACTGGACTGTCCTCTACAGAAGAAAACACAAAAAGGGACAGTCGGAAGAAATTCAAAAGAAAAGAACAAGACGAGCAGTCAAATTTCAGAGGGCCATCACTGGTGCATCTCTTGCTGACATAATGGCCAAGAGGAATCAGAAACCAGAAGTTAGAAAGGCCCAAAGAGAACAAGCTATCAGGGCTGCCAAGGAAGCAAAAAAGGCTAAGCAAGCATCTAAAAAGACTGCCATGGCTGCTGCTAAGGCTCCCACAAAGGCAGCACCTAAGCAGAAGATTGTGAAGCCTGTGAAAGTTTCTGCTCCACGAGTTGGTGGAAAACGCTAAATTGGCAGATCAGATTTTCAAATAAAGATCTGTAATTCAAAAAAAAAAAAAATAAAAAAAATAAAGGATATAGTAGGGAAAACCAACCCAAAATGTTCCCAGGGCTGCTGTCAAAAGACCAGAATTGCCAAGAGCTGCTCCGAGGGTGCTGTTGACCCCTGAAGCCTCCAGGATGCCGCGGTCCTCACTAATCCGTTACCTCCCACCTCCCTGTGCTTCTCAGGTGGAAGCCCAGCCTGAATGCGCTGCAGGGAACATGTAGGCTACAGAATTTGCACTTGAGCTTTAGATGCGTCCTTTCTTTGTTGGGAGCAAGCCTCAGCTGAAGAGAAGCTGCTGCCTGGATTACATGAATCAAACGTGGTGAAGTAGTGTTAGTAAACTCGTAGTTGGAATCACTCAGTAAATCTATGTCAGCAGTAAAGAGCAGAGGAAAACTTGAGGGACTGAACTGTTTCTACTTGCCATTTTACATTTGAGTTCTCATGGGCCAGGTCCCTTCCAAATATCTGTTTATTTCTGTATCTTTCTGAAATTAGGACATTTTTCTTCAGAGTAGAATTAATAAAAGTACTCTAAGTGAACTGAGTCAATCAAATGATTAAGTTAGTTCAGTCTCTAGGAATCTGTTTGATTCCTGCAGTAACCCCAGAAATTCTTTTTTTTTTTTTTTTTTTTTTTTTTGTATTTTAGGACAGGGTGTACAGGGTAGCTTGTATAGAGTCTCATTGCTTAGATCGAACTCATAGTGATCCTCCTGTTTACAGCCTCCCAAGTATTGGGATTAAGGAGTGCCACCAGGCCCAGTCTCAACCGCTGTCTCAGCATACTCTGGGTACGGGGCCAGCACAGTAGGCCAGGGGATTGAGCTCCCTGCCTCCGAGTCTGCCTAAGAAGGTGCTTTAATCCGCTGAGCTATTTGGCTAGCCCAGAAATTCTTAAAGATAAAAACCTGTAACCCCTTTATTCTCAAAAGCTGACTGAATTGGAAGCTAACTTAGAGTGGCATTGTATATATATTTAATACCATGGACTGTACTAAAAACAAGTGCATTTGCACTTTTTCTGTTACTATCATGAAGTAACTGAGGCTGGTAACAAACATAAAAACATGTGTTTGGTTCCCAGTTTTGGGGTGCTAAAATTTCAGAATGTTGGCTCTAGTGAGGACCACCTTCCCATGTCACCTTATGGCATGTGGCAGCACAGTGACAGAAGCCCATTATGAAAGAAGTCATATAGGGAGGCAGGAAGCCAGAGCAGGAGTGGAGTGCCAAAGCCCTGCCTTAGTCTCTCCCGAGGGCGGCACCCACAGTGACCTAAGGACTCCCCAATGAGCCCCGCCTCCCAAGGGTCCGCTGCTTTCCTTGCATCTCCACAGGAAGGACCAAGTTTGCAACAGGTGAACCTTGGGGGACACAGTCAAACCCCAAGCACACTGTAGCATAAGCATTGCAGAAGCAGTCCCCCAGTGCTTGGCTTTGTGTGAAACTAATTGTTCTCTTCGTCTCATTGACTACATGACCTGAAATAAGTGTGAATATCTCCATTTCACAGATGAGGGAACCAAGAGGCAGTGGGGTTGGCAGTGAGAGTAAGAAAAAGACACAGAGTTGTGACCCAGAACACTCCATTCTGTGCTGTTTCCCATGAGAGTGATGGAAAGCTTTTGGTCAACTGTGAACATGAAACAGGTGCATTTTCCTTCACCAGTCATTAGTGAGAAGGTCGGTTCACATGCCTAACAAAAAGTTGGTTTAACTTTAAAATAATAACTGTGTTGAGACCCTCTTCTATAAATTGAACTCTGGACATTGTCTTAAATGATGAAAATTTGTACTTGCTATCTTTCTGCTCCCAAGTATTGCTAGAAAAGTTTTATAAACTTACAGCTATCTTTGAAAGTCACATTCTTCCTAAGTTACTAAGAACACCTATATTTTAATGGCTGAGTCCCAAGAAATAGATAAATTCAGTAATTGAGCCAATGACTTTTATAGGCTTGGGGTTTTTAAACTGAAAAGGTGGGCAGGATTGATGAGTGAAAGGGAAAAAGCTTACCAACTGGTCCAGTGATTTCTAGTCGAAATGCAGTAATATTTTCCCAATGGACAGATAACCCACATTACCCCTGATGTAAGCAGGGAGGACCCGGACTGTGGGCTATAACTGCTTCTAAATGACAACCCAGGAAGCCAGTCCTGTAAAGCCCTTTCCCTGAGAAATAGGAGGCAAAAGGTGTTTGTTCCTAGAGCCAGTAGTGAAATTGGTGAAGAAGATCTCTGGGCTGATCATCTCCTGACTGTCCACAGACGTGGCTGGAGGAGGCCTGGGGACGGGGCTGCTGCTCCTCATGGTCAGGAACCACTGCCAGCTCTTAGTGTCTCTTACACAGACAGCAGAGCTCTGTCCCACTCCCACTTACTTCCATGGGTAGCTGGCCACGTGTGACCTTTTCTTCAAATCTGTCCATCCTTTCTGAGCCCTGAGGCTTGGGACAGAAACTTGTGTGTGTGTGAAGCAAATATTTCAGAGTACCATGGAGGCATGGATAAGATAGAAAAATGAAAACTCCTACAGCTCATTTTCAAATAAATATATATTAGTTAGAGAGGTTTGGGCTCTAACCATTGACTTGAGTTTCCATGCTATGATTGTTGCCATCTTGCTGTAAGACCTTGGGAAGTCACATAAAATCTTCAGAAGTCCTCTTCCTCACTTTTGAAATCAAAGTAGAGGGGCTGAGGAGATAGCCCACAAGTCTAAGGGCCTGCCTGAAATCAAAATAGAAGTGGGTACTGGATGGCAGGCCTCAGGGGAAATGGTGACAACATCCCTAGCAGGATGCCAAGCAGAGCACAGAGGGCGTGTTGCCTCTTGGGCTTTCAACATCCCTACCATACCTGGCTGTGTCTCTTCAAACAGCTCTAACTTATTTTCCAAAAAGTAAACCCCAGTCATCAATGGTACAGCTTTCCAGAAAGATGTGACCTAAGCCCGGGCTCCACAGATGCGCTCACCGGCCTCAGGCCCCTAGCAACCATGCCCCATTCTTAAGTCTCCTCCCAGGAGGGATCAGACCCACTTCCTGGCTCCAGCATGGCTTGGGTTCTTTTTTCTCCTGAGGTTTTATTTATGTTTTTGTTTTGTTTTTTTTCTGGTAGGATGCACACACTTAGATGGGGGACAGGAAGTAGCAGCTTTGAACAGCAGAAGAATGGTGGGTGTGCTTTGGTAGCCGCTGCTCCCAAGGAGCTGCTGGGTCTGGTCCGCAGAGGACTAGAGGAAAGGATCCTGAGCTCCTGGCTTAGCTCGCTTTCTTCACGGTGAAGGGGTAGCGGCCCCTGGAGGGAAGCAAGCACGTGCGCTTGTGTGCCGTCTGTTACGTTTTGGATATGCGGTGTCCCCCAATGTCTCATGTGTTCAGAGGCAGGGTTTTGGAAGATGACTGGATCGGGGAACCCCCCTACTCATTAGAGGATGACCCCACAGTTGAGTCCATAGCTGACCGTGTTGCTAGGAGGCAGAGCCTTGTGCTAAGAGATTGGCTGGGACTTGCCTTTGCGGGCTGCCTCTCCCGCCTGCTTGTCCCCTGCTCTCTTTTCCTGGCCACCATGACAAGAGCAGCCTTCCTCTGCCAGCCCCTTCCACTGTGTCCTTCCGGCCTGGGAGCCTGCTTCCCACGGACAGGAAACAGGAGCCCGCACGGACCTCTCTTCGGTGGTGGCTCTTGGACATTTTTTCCCCAGCAATGAGAAAGAGACCGAGACACCAGCCTGACTGCTGCCGAGACTCAGGAGTCCACAGCGAGCATCGTCTACCTAATTCATCTGAGCCCGACTCTAGAGCTACTTCTACAAGCAAAACCACAGAGTTCAGAGTGATCATCCTGGAACGAGAGAGCGAAGGTCCTCCGGGAGTATGGAGGAGTCAGAGAATCCTGGAATTCTGGCAGCTTTTAAAAGCAATTGAAGGTGGAGATGGAAAATGCATTAGAAAAGGGCTCTCCAGAGCTTGCCTCTCTCCTGGAGGCACCTTTGTGAAATTGATTGGCTTCCTCTAGGTTGTCACTAGGAAGGCGGGGTTCAAAAATATTTTATGCTTTAGTTCTTTTTTTAGCTAGGAAGATTCTGTTTTTATGGAAAAATACCATAATACACTGAGATTTAAGGTGGACCTGTCAGATTTTATAATTCAATTTCATAGGAAGAGTGATGAAAATTACTATTCTGTGCACTTGAGTAATATAATAATTAGATTCATGAAGTTAGACTGAGAAAAATAATCACCAGATGCTTGCGAATCAGTACTTAGGAGGGGATGGTACCTTAGTGACTCTTTCTCCAAAGAGATTTTCTACAAAACTATAGCCATTAAGAATCTTGCCCTCATTCCTGTGTCTCTTATTACCGCAGCCTTCTTATCCTCTGCCCGTGAGTGGCCTCACAGGTATCCAGTCTTATTTATTCAGCTTGCAAGTGGTTTTGAATTTCAGCACAATGTGCTTCTGCCACACCCTCTGCCTGGACTGAAGGATGCACAAGCGAAAACACAAAGTGAGCCTCAGCCCTGTGGTCACGAAGTGCCCTCGGAGGCAGGCTACAGACCAACGGTGGTGAACGTGTAAGAGCTTCCCATGATGCCAACAGCCCACTGTGGCACATGCACCATCAGTTTGCCATCTTTGTTGTAAACAATTAAATAGTAATTACAACCCAATGGGAAAAGTGGGTTCCAGAATGCCCAGATGTTTGTGGAGGTATATAGAATGGGCATCTACCTAACCAGACCCAGAGCTGAGAGGGGGATGCGGGAGGTTGTGAATAAGGGGAAGAAGACAGTGCCTGGCTTGTGCAAAGGCCTGGGTAGGAAGTTAGTACAGGACAGGCCTACCTGTGAGCCGAGATGGGGACTGGGGGCCTCATCTCATGGCCCTCTGAACTTAGTCTGGGGAAGCTATCCCTGGGGAAGCAACACGGTCAGATTATGTTTCAGGAATATCTTCTGTGTCTCACCATCCACGTCATGGCCACCTAGC